ATTTGATCGATATTTCGGCTTATCATCAGGAAAAAGATTTGGTTTAAGTTAAATAACATTATGAAAATACTCGTTTTCATTTACTAAATTAATTAAGTCAAATATTGTCACTGTTTTATTAAAAAATAACATAATCTATTTAAAGAAATTCATTATACGTATAATTTATATAAAAAAATTAGATTGATTTTTTAGAAAATCAATATATATACTTTTAATGCTAGTTTATAGTAAAATAGTCAATGTTTTAAAGCAATATATTTCATTCAATGGTTAGTTAACTTAAAAGTTATGCCTGGTTTTCACTATATCATTTTAAATGACAATTATACTTGATCGGTCTGTCAAATGCGTTTTCATTACATGACAAGAATGCGAATACGACATCATATGATTACCCGTTTTCATTATACTGACAATATTTGACATTAAAAATGACATAGTGAAAACGAGGCGTTAAGTTAGGTAGGTTAGATTATACCGGTGATCCCAGGGGAACTCACTTAGGCCTATAGGCCCATCGTGCTATTAACGATGTGTTAGTAATTGAAATTATTTGAATATGGTTATTATATGATAAAACATATGAAATATATCATGTAACTAAATTGCTTTTTTATATTAAAGGCGTAATATTTCGTCCAGAAGTAAAGATATTTTTTAATCGAACAAGTTTTTGATACATCAACAATTTGTGCACTATTTTATCTCTATTTTATTACAAGAAATACTACTAAAAACCTCACTTGAAGCACACCTATTTATTTTAATACCATGTGTATTATACAAAATTACATCATTAAAGTAAAGAATTTTTATAAATCAAACACTATGAAAAAATTGATAGTGGTCAATAAAAAGTTACAAGATAAAACGCTTGAAATGTGAGTCATCAACTCTAATGTGAGTTCATCAAAATCAATGCTTGTTTTTTATATAACAATGTTTATATTGTGTTTGAAAATTGAATTTTTAAAATAAAATTTTAATTTATGAAGTCATGGAAGAAAAAGAAAATTAATCTACATACACATTTTTTTTAAAAAAAAAAATTAACAATAAATATGAATGAAGTATTAAAATCAACAGTTTCACATTA